CTTCCAATTTCTGACAGTGGGTAGGTGAAGATAAATACGGTTGTGGAGAAACGAAGTTTGGCAGCACTTTGAATAAGCACTTAGGCAAATAAAGGCAAAATAACGTGATATAACTCTGAACAGAACAGAGCCACCCTGAGGCCTTTTAAAGCATGTGGCAGGATATAAATTGAATAAGCAAACAGAAATTAAGTAGAAGTTGCAGGAGAAAAACAACACTAACAATCTAAAATTCAACAGAACACTTGAATGTGGAAAAAAATTGCTTCACTGATAGAATTTCTCTGGATTGCCAGGCTCAAGTTGTACATATGTATAAATAAGCCATATATCCTAAGGACACCAAAGTCTCTGCAGTGTCTCATCTGCGAAAGGAAACGCAAACTGTGTCTGGAACCCCTGGAATCTCACACCACTCTGAGATTGGGTGGCATGCAACAGTATGACCAACTGCGTGTATGTGTGAACTGATCCTCAGGGCTTCTTGCAAATACTCTGTATGTGTGTACTTCGAAGCTTGAGCTCTTATAATACACAGATGGTGCAATAGCAATACCATTCACAGAGTTCTTCTTTCTGGCAGGCCTCTGTACCTTTAAGAACTGTTTAAAAATCAAAAAATGCAATACCTGCAAGCTTTCCCTTGCGGTCCCTTCCACCTCTACAATTCTATCATACTATGATTCCCAGAATTGAAATGGCAAGCACTCACTCAACTACGTAGGGAAGAACTGAATTCTACTTATCTGATGAATGGGAGACAACCACACTGTGTTTTTTCACCAATTGCACTCGCCCTCTAAAATAATGGCCGGTCATATCTCTGCTCATTTGCTACTAATAAGTGTTATCTCTTATGCCAGCGGTAGGCAAGCTGCAATCTAGTGCTTCATGCAATCTGCAGTCTCTGCAAACCTCCGGCAAAAGCCATCTGTGCCTTCAATCCTAGCACTGGCTTTAGAAAGAAGAGAAACCAGTGGCTGCCACTTTTGGCTCCAGCTCTGCCCACCTTCAGCCCTGCCCACTAACATGCAATGGACAAAAGGTTGCTCCCCCCTGCTCCCTACTACCTCTGCATTCCAACACACTGCAAACATCAGGTTGTAGCCAATGTTAGTCATACTCAGAGCATACTGGGAAGAAGGTTGATACATCTGAGTTTGGACACTACTCTGACTGACAATCAAGGGGCTTGTGCCCTGGCAAGTCTGTTGCAGGCTTGGGTGGATGCCTGCTATTTAAGAAGATATGCAGTTTTGGGGTACAGTCGAGTCAATGTGAGTGGGCTTTCAAATCTAATTGTACTGTTAACTGGGCTTCTTGAGATTTGTGCTCATGTTAAAGGGAGCTTGGTTCTGTAGCATACCCCATTCTGAGATGGGGGTGAAGTCAAACTGTTGAAAGGTTAGAGCACCTGTTGTGGCTGTAGAGACAGGGGCGAACGAAGGCGTCGTGACACCTGGGGTGGGGCGTCGCTACGTAGGGTGCATGTGCAGCGTCGCTATGTACGCCGCATGCGCCGTACGTAGCGACGCCACACATGCACTGTACATAGTGGTTTGCCGGCGCCGGCACTCCAGTGCCATATGGACAGTGCCGGGATCCCTCTGTATAGCCGCAAACGGAGGATCCTCTACATGCGACTGTAGCGGTGACGGAGGGATCCCACTGCTGTCCGTACGGCGCTCAAACGTCGCTGTCAGCAAACCACTGCCACAGCACATGCGTGTGACACTGCACATGCAGTGTACATAGCGGTTTGCTGCCGGCACTGGCATCCTCTGCCCGCGGCTGCAGCCGCAAATGGAGAATTCTCCACATGTAGCTGCGGCAGTGTGATGGCTGTTTGCGCCGCCGCCAGCCCCCGTGGGGTGCCTTCTTGTCACCCCCCAGACATGGCACCCCCCACCCCCGTTGCGACGCCACTGTGTAGAGACCAATGCAGAAGAGACATGTTTTGTTGCAGCTGGGGCAAGTGAAGGCATCTGGTTTTGCTGCTGCAGATGCACCAGGGCGTTTCTTCTCACTCCTCCTCTGGTCACTGTTATGGATGCACAACTTGACTGCCTGTCTCCAGGCACTGAGGTCGCCTGCAAGGAATTCTCACATGGGGTTGATGTTGCCAGCCTTCATGTCCCATTTGCAAACATCTTTGTGATGCAGAGTTGGTCTGCCAACAGGCCTAGTGCCTGAAGCCAGCTCCTTGGGGTTCCTGCCACCTTCCATTCTGTGGACATGACCAAGCCAGTTCTTTTGCCTAGGCTGCAAAAATGCTTAAGAGTAGTATTTTTTTAAAGTGTTCTAAGGGAGTATGAGTAGGCTAAAGTAACTATCCGGGGAATGGGGGGAAAGAGTCAGGAGTCCTATAACAATAACAGCTGTTTTGGAACCATAAATGCAACAGGTGATGCTCTCTCCATCACCACCACATTCCCTTGCTAAGCATGTACCTGCAGAATTCCTGCCCACCGTGCAGCAATTAAAAAAGGCACAGGAGCCCAGCTGCTGAAAACATCCTGGCTCAGGCCCTGTTGATGCATTCAGCAGAATCAAGCGGTATTTCTCTCTACCCCACCAGGACCACTTTAAGTTGTAGATGGGAGTTTACATTTCTGAATGCTTCTGCAAGGGACAAAAAGAAAGTAATACAGTGGTACCTCGGGTTAAGAGCTTAATTCGTTCCGGAGGTCCGTTCTTAACCTGAAACTGTTCTTAACCTGAGGTACCACTTTAGCTAATGGGGCCTCTTGCTGCCGCCGCACGATTTCTGTTCTCATCCTGAAGCAAAGTTCTTCACCCAAGGTACTATTTCTGGGTTAGTGGAGTCTGTAACCTGAAGCATCTGCAACCTGTGGTACCACTGTAAAAGCAGTGGGAGCAGTCTTGGTCTATTAATGTGTATTATTTAAAGAATTAGGTGTCTATCCACCCTTCCTTCTAAAAGCCCAGCGTGGCATTAGAAAAATTCCAAAATCCAGAGTTGGGCAATATAATTATTGGAATCAAGCTAAGTGTGACAAGATAGTGAGCACGACTTTGAGTTCTCCAGCCTAGACCCCAAGCTAAGGTGGGGAGGATGGGGGTGAGCTTAACACTCAAGTGAGTTGTTTTCGTCCCTGCTCTCCCATTTTTCTTACATCCATCCTCATTATGTGTCCTGCAGAACTGGAGTGATACCTCACTATTTTATCAAATGCTGGGTGGGACTAATAAAGGTATTGCTGCACTGTAATAATAATAATAATAATAATAATAATAATAATAATAATAATAATAATAATAATAATAATAATAATAATAATAATTTTATACCCCGCCCTCCCCAGCCAAGGCCGGGCTCAGAGCGGCTTACAAGCATTAATAAAAACAAGATGAATGATTACAACTTAAAAACAAAAATAAAATACAACATTAAAATAATGGAACATTAAAATATTAAAATGTAGCCTCATTGCAGGAGGAGAAGGAAAAGAAAAAGAGGGAGGGAGGGAATCAAACTGTAGATGTGGGGATTTCCCCACCCCATTATAAAAATAAAAACCCTCCCCTGAATATAGAACCATAGAATCTTCTGTTGGAAGGGATCCTGAGGGTCATCTAGTCCAACCCCCTGCAATGAAGGAATCCTGCCCACAAGCTTGAACCCCCAACCTCCTGGTTAACAGCCAGACCCACTGAGCCAGAGAGTGTAGAAATATGGGCATGCTCACTGGCAGGAAAGCTAGCATAGGAGAGATCAGGGTTCAAATCCTCACTTGGCCATTATGCTCACTGGGTGACCTCAGGCGGGTCACTCACCCTCTCAGCCTAACCCACCTCACAGGGCTGTTGAGAGGAGATGTATGCACCCTTGGTGGAAAAGCGGGCTGTGTCTTTGCAAACTAGTGATGTATGGAAGTGAGAGCTGGACCATCAAGAAGGCTGATCGCCGAAGAATTGATGTTTTTGAATTATGGTGCTGGAGGAGACTCTTGAGAGTCCCATGGACTGCAAGAAGATCCAACCTATCCATTCTGAAGGAAATCAGCCCTGAGTGCTCACTGGAAGTACAGATCCTGAAGCTGAGGCTCCAATACTTTGGCCACCTCATGAGAAGAGAAGACTCCCTGGAGAAGACACTGATGCTGGGAAAGATGGAGGGCACAAGGAGAAGGGGACGACAGAGGACGAGATGGTGGGACAGTGTTCTCTAAACTACAAACATGAGTTTGACCAAACTGCGGGAGGCAGTGGAAGACAGGAGTGCCTGGCGTGCTCTGGTCCAGGGGGTCACAAAGAGTCGGACACGACTAAATGACTAAACAACAACATCTTTGCAAACGGATAACTAGATAAAGCGTCTTGCTCGTTTTCTTTCTTTTTTTTAAATAATATTTTATTAGAGTTTCAAAAAAATACAAAAAAGAAAAAGAAAAAGAACAAGAAAAAAAAGAATAAAAAAGAGTTCATTCTTTACAATCCCATTTTCAATAACTTTTTTTCCGCGACTTCCCCTCACCTCCCCTTCTTGTATTCCATGTCCAAATATTTATCCAACAAGTTCTTATCCCTAAATTCTTAACCTTAATTTGTTATTATATTTATTATATTATATTTTTAACCTTAATTTGTTATTATATTTAATTCAATTTATATATCAACTTTTAACTTATATACCTCAATCCTTTACATTTGAAAACTTTTTCTAAGGTCGACCCAGTTTCCCTTCCCTTCTTGCTCGTTTTCTAGGGGCAGGGCGTTCCGCAGGCCAGTCTCTCTGTCTGCTCCTCCAGCCACTGGCTCGACCGAAGGGGGTCTCGGAGGGGTCCGCTGACACGTGCTTGCTCCCCGCGTCCCGCCAGCCTCGTGTGCCTCGGGGCTTCCCCCGCTGAGCCTGGGCGCGTGTCGTGGGCGCCGCGCCCGCCTCTCCTCCCCCCGCCCGGCGCGGACGCGGCTTGCCCGCCGGTGTCTGCGGGGGTCCCTGCGCCCTTCGCGCTTCCCTCTCTGGACTGGCTTGGCGGAGAGGCGGGGGGAGAGAGAGAGAGAGGAGGGGAGTGTTGTCTAAACACTTTCTTACCGTAAGAGGGAGTTGGGACCCGGAGCTTTCCAGTTAATCACACAACAAAACTTGGCTCATCGCAATAAAAAGCAGCAGCTCGGCTCGCTCCGTCTCCTCTCTTGGCCGGCTGGGCATCTCCTCTTCCCTCCGCTGCGACCGAAGCCCCTCCAGCCCCCATGTGGACCAGCCAGCTCTTGCCCCTCGGACTCTTCCTTCACTCCATCAGCAACATCCCTTGGGCAGGTTAGTTCGGCTCCTGGTTTTCCTTTTCCCCTCAAGGAGCTGCTCGGTCGTTTTCCACTCGGGACTTCTTGCCTTTTCGTTTTCCTTTTTAAACAAACGTGCTTGTGTGCATTGGGAGTTCCGCACGTTTGTGTTGGAAACACGCGCACACGTGCGTGTGAACGCGCGCGAGTATGCATTTACGGGAGAGGGGGGATATTGAGAATTTTCTGTGCTGATGATGTATCCAAATGCATGACGAGATCTATTTCGATGTTTTTTTCTGGCGAGGGGTGTCCGGAGGGCGAATGAACGTGTGAAAAGCGGCCCGGCAACTAAAGGGTTAAGTTTGTTTTGCGAAGTCCCCTCCCGGGACAGGGCTAAAGCTACACCCCCTGATCCGTGTCCCAGGACGCTTGTAGTAGGGCATCAAATCATTCAGGTGTCTGGATCGAATATGGTTCCCTTTTACCCATGCCAGAAAGTGACAGCGAAATAAAAATCCGCCTCAAAGCAAACCCCGTTATCCTCTCTGAGCAAGTGAAGGACCAGTGGGAGACTGGCTGGGTTAGAAATCAAAACAGACATGTATTTTGCCCCACCTAAGTGTTCCTGTAAATACAGTAGATCTAAAAAGACTTCATGGATCTGTGCAGGAAGAGAACTGTGGATGTTGCTGCAGAATTTGTCTTGTTCTGTGCAGTGGCGTAGCGTGGGGGGTGCAGGGGGGGCCGGCCGCACCGGGCGCAACATCTGGGGTTAGGGCAAATCCACAGGTTAGGGGGCGCAAATCCACGGGTTAGGGGGCGCAAATCCATGGGTTAGGGGGCGCAAATTACTTGCCTTGCCCCGGGTGCTGACAACCCACGCTACGCCACTGGTTCTGTGTAAAGGCACTCTCTGCCTCCCCCCCAAAAACCCCCATGTGCACGGTTTTCGGAGCCCAAAGACCTACATATGTGCAATCTTTGTGAACTGGACAGATTAGCAGATCTAAGGGGAAGGAGGGGAGTTATTTCACTGCTTGCTTCTAGGCTCTCTCAGCTGTGATGGGGCAAGAGGAAACATCTGTCCCTTATTGCAGTGTAATTGATTACATGTTAAGCAGTATGAGGACAACAGTGAGCATCCTAACCTCAGGAGACCTAGTTCCAAGGCTTGGAACGAACACCTCAATGAGGGCCATGTCCTTGTGTGTGCCCAGTGCAGTAAACTGTCTATTTCTGGAGCCAGTTAATTAACATTTCATCTCCGAGCCAATCAAGTTCCCGAGGCTGTGGAAAGTAGGAAGAGCAAACAATAAGCAATCAACAACTGGAAACTGCTGACTTGGTTTTTTGTTTTCTGAGTGTCTTCCATGGGACTGGAACACCGGAGGGACGGGGCTTGTATTTCTCCGTTGTTTGGGGGATATTTTTTATTATAAAGGAAACACGTTGGGTTTTTGTCCCTCTTTCTCTTTTTTGAAGTTAGCTAAGGCAAATGTTGTGGAAACAGATATACCTGCTTATCGGTTTGGAACCACGTGTACCTTTTTTGTAGATAACTTTGACAGCATGATGGAGGCACTTTGCTAACTTCCTCTAATTTATTTATACATCTTATTAATGCAGCTTATTTATACAGCTGTGTAGAGTTGATAGTCCAGTAGTTTGTCTGATACGAAGTGCTTTTTCTATTTATTTATTTTAATAATGGTCCAGGTGAACTTTAGTTTCCGTGTCACTAACATGATCTCCCCCGTACTTTCAGCATCCTTCTTGTCCTACCCCCTCTCTCTCCTGCAATCACTTTTAACATTTGATACCAGTTAATGTGACTTAGGATGAAGACAAGTTTTTATTTCATTTCCATCCCCAAAGTGCATCCTTGGATGGACAAATTCCATTTTATTTCAGTCTTATTTTCTCAGAATGTAAATATTTCACATGCTGGGGAAAATAATAGATTGACTCCATATAGTATTATAAACACAAATATTCCCCCCATACCATTTATTTTCTTCTTAATTTTTTGTTATGGAAAGTGTTGCTTTAATTTTTGCTACAGGGTTTATATTAACATTCTTAATATCAGCTCTCAAAGAAATAGATAGAAACTCCAGAAGCTAATCTAGTTGATCACTGCAAACATCTAGGAATCAAATAGTCTTATTACATCATGGTTATTCTGCTGTTGGATGTCTGGGTTGGTCTTGGATTGGTCAAGTTTTAAATATATAAACATAAATGTTTATACTTGCAAAGTAGGTTTTTGTTTGTTTCAACCAAGAGCAAGACCTCTGTTATACATCACAACTTATTTGAATTACATCACATTCTTTGAGGGCATGGGGGGGGGGAACTTCAATTATAAAAATGCATGCTGACTTTTTCAGTTGTGAGTTGCTCTAGATTATCTGGATCGCTTTCAAAATATACATTTCATATAAGTTATGAAAAATCACAGATAAAAGTTTGTGACACTTCCCCGAGCTTTTAGAAAATCTGTTGTCTATATATCTTAGTGACAGTAAACTTTAGATTATAATTGCTACTAAATATATTTTTGTGATCAACTAATTAAAAACATTACACCCTTTTAAACCTTATATTTTGGATTTATTAAATTATGGTAACACTTTGGTGGTAGAATCTGTTGGCCAAATTTCTTCATAGTGGATTAATGCCACACCCTTAGCTCAACCCTGTGCATTAGATTAGTTTGAGAGAGAATTATTAAGTCAAGGCCATCTTTGAGTTGGAATAGGAATCTGCTGCATCCCATTCTCTCTGCAAGGGTGCTGTATTTGATGTGCACCAGGAGATCTGGGAACTGTAGACTTTTAAATTGTGCTGACCTCACAAATTCCCAGCACCCTTAGCAACCTGCCGTTCCCAGGATTTCCCCTGGCTATTAAAGAGGTGTAAGAGTGCTTTAAATGTATGGTGTGGATGCTTTTGCCACAACCTCTCCAGAGTACTCAGACTTCAAGTGTGTAAATAAACCACCTAACAAGGAAGCTGAGTTTCCTGCAAACATGCCTGTTCCTGGTCACATTTCATGGCATTTTCCATGTGACTCATGTTGCCACACATCACAGATGAAGAAAATCTGAACTTTGGTCAATCAAAATATTCAGAAGCATAGTAGAGATTTTGCTGTGTCTTGTTGGCTCTGTGTTTACATAACTACATGTCATTAGCCTGCAGTGATTTATTCTTTCAGCTGTAGATTATTATTATGCCGTATGCTGTCAGCAGTTAAAATGATATTCTGCCAGTCTGAAGACTGTATTGTTTTTGGATAATGGAATCCATTTGGTGAAAAGTGCCAATAGCTGCCTATTGGTCACACACACACACACACACACACACACACACACACAGTGAGGGGGGGGGAGTCCTAAAGCACAGAGCATTTGATCCCCTTTATCAGAGTTCCCCCCTCCACTTTTCCTATTTAAAGCTATTTTTGTGAGCAGAGCAGCATGAGGAAAGTGGAGCTGAAGAGCTCAAGATTAGGATGTTGCGTAAAAACTGGAAAATCATCCACTGAAATCAAAGAAAGGAAAGCCTCTTAGTGGGGAAAGCTTATCTCACTCTATAACATGGTCTAAAGCTAGAGTGGAAATGTGCATTCTCTGTTATAGAGTGAGGGATCTCTGCTTCTGAGGGCTGATGGATGGATGTGTGAAGGCTGTTCCTCATGAAGCTTTAAAAAAAAAAATGGGTATAGATATCAGAGAACAAAGTGCACACACACACTCTGTGGAATTTGGATGACAGATTTTAAAAGGCAGGAAAATGACAGTTACGCTGCAGGTTTGTTTGTTTGTTTGTTTTTTTAAACACCCCAATGTGTCTACTGTGAGCAAAACGTAGTTGAACACCACCCATAATGATCAAGTATATAGAAGAACAAGCCTTGCTGGAGCAGAACCAATATGGCTTTTGCAAGGGTAATTCCAATACAACGGATGCCACCAAGGAATCCTAAGTAAGCTTAGCAGTCATGGGATAGCAAATGGCAAATGCATTTCAGTGTAAACAACTGTAAAGTGATGCATCTCAGGGTAAAAAAAGAAAAAGAAAATTACATATACAAAAATGGCTGGTGCAGAGCAAGAAGAAACTTGCTGTCAGAATCATAGAATCATAGAGTTGGAATAGACCACAAGGGCCATCGAGTCCAACCCCCTGCCAAGCAGGAAACACCATCAGAGCACTCCTGGCATATGGTTGTCAAGCCTCTGCTTAAAGACCTCCAAAGAAGGAGACTCCACCACACTCCTTGGCAGCAAATTCCACTGTCGAACAGCTCTTACTGTCAGGAAGTTCTTCCTAATGTTTAGGTGGAATCTTCTTTCTTGTAGTTTGGATCCATTGCTCCGTGTCCGCTTCTCTGGAGCAGCAGAAAACAACCTTTCTCCCTCCTCTATGTGACATCCTTTTATATATTTGAACATGGCTATCATATCACCCCTTAACCTCCTCTTCTCCAGGCTAAACATGCCCAGCTCCCTTAGCCGTTCCTCATAAGGCATCGTTTCCAGGCCTTTGACCATTTTGGTTGCCCTCCTCTGGACACGTTCCAGTTTGTCAGTGTCCTTCTTGAACTGTGGTTCCCAGAACTGGACACAGTACTCCAGGTGAGGTCTGACCAGAGCAGAATACAGTGGCACTATTACTTCCCATTATCTAGATGCTATACTCCTATTGATGCAGCCCAGAGTTGCATTGGCTTTTTTAGCTGCCGCGTCACACTGTTGGCTCATGTCAAGTTTGTGGTCAACCAAGACTCCTAGATCCTTTTCACATGTACTGCTCTCAAGCCAGGTGTCACCCATCTTGTATTTGTGCCTCTCATTTTTTTTTTGCCCAAGTGCAATACTTTACATTTCTCCCTGTTAAAGTTCATCTTGTTTGTTTTGGCCCAGTTCTCTAATCTGTCAAGGTTGTTTTGAAATGTGTGATCCTGTCCTCTGGGGTGTTAGCCACCCCTCCCAGTTTGGTGTCATCTGCAAATTTGATCAGGATGCC